CGAGTCGCCCAGCTGTCAGGAAACAATACCCTTGGCCTGTTCAGACAGAGCTCATTCCTGAAAGTGTGTGTTCTCTCTCTCCGTCGCTGCGCTCCCTCCCCTCTTCCTTTGTGCTGTAATGTCTTTTCCATTTTTAACCGTAGCCGTGTAAACTTCCTTCCTACGAACGCTATGAAAGCAAGGTCGAGGATGTTAAAGTGGAGCGTTCATTAGCGGCGCGCGGGGGGGGAAGCTGGCGTGTTTTGGCTGGATTAGCAGCAGTCATCAAAGAGTTTGGCATTAATTGAATCCAGTTATTATATTTATTAAAGAGACGCGACGTAACGGCTGTTTGTTTGAGCTGGAATCAGGGCAGCTGGACTGGAGAGTTTGACCAAGTCAGATGCTGATTGCACAAACAATGGGGATAATTGGCCAATAAACATTGAGGAGGAACACAATTGGTTTGATTTGGAGAGGCCGTCATCCAATCAGTGTTGTTCATGATGTAGTGTGGGTCTGTGTGTATTTTGCATAAAGATTTGTGTAGATGTTTGTCTTAAAAACTTTGACTGCAAAATGGCTTTATATTTATAACATGGAAAGTATTGATAGCGCTACACTTTTCCCACAATTTTTTCAACATTCTACACACAATGTTCCATAAGAGTTTTTGAAATTGTTGCAAATTTAATTATAATAAAAAAGCTGAAGAATCACATGTACATCAGTGTTTACAGCCTTTGCTGTGTAGCTCTAAACTGAGCTCAGGTACATTCTGTCTCCACTGATCATTCTTGAGATGTTTCAGCTTCATTGGAGTTCACCTGTGGTCAATTCAGCTGATTGGACATGATCTGAAAAGGCTACACCTGTCTATATAAGCTCCCAGGGTTGACAGTGCATGTCACAGCACAAACCAAGCATGAAGACAAAGGAATTGTCTGTAGATCCTCGAGACAGGATTGTCTCGAGGCAAAAGGCTGGGGAAGGTTACAGAAACATTTCTGCAGCTCTGAAAGTTCCAATGAGCACAGCGGCCTCCATCATCCGTAAGTGGAAGATGTTTAAACAACCAGGACTCTTCCTAGAGCTGGCCGGACATCTAAGCTGAGTGATCGGGGGAGAAGGGTCTTAGTCAGGGAGGTGATCAATAACCCGATGGTCACTCTGTCTGAGCTACAGTGTTCTTCTGTGGAGAGAGGAGAACCTTACAGAAGGACAACCACCTGTGCAGCAGTCCACCAATCAGGCCTGTGTGGTAGAGTGGCCAGACGGAGGACACTCCCTGCCGTAAATTTGGCATCTGAAGGAGTCTCAGACCATAAGAAACTAAACTCTCTGCTCTGATGAGACTAAACTTGAACTCTTTGGAGTGAACGCCAGGCGTTACGTTTGGAGAAAAGCAGGCAGCGCTCATCACCAGGCTAATAGCATCCCTACAGTGAAGCATGGTGGTGTTGGCATCATGCTGTGGGGATGTGTTTCAGCAGCAGGAACTGGAAGACTAGTCAGGATAGAGGGAAAGATGAACGCAGCAATGTACAGAGACACCCTGAATGAAGACCTGCTTCAGAGTGCTCTTGACCTCAAACTGAGACGGACGGTTGGAGTGGCTTCACAACAACTCTATGAATGTCCTTGAGTGGCCCAGCCAGAGCCCAGACCTAAATCCTATTAAACATCTCTGGAGAGATCTGAAAATGGCTGTACACCGTCGCTTCCCATCAAACCTGATAGAGCTTGAGAGGTGCTGCCAAGCGGAATGGGATTTCCAAAGACAGGTGCGCCAAGCTTGTGGCATTATATTCAAAAAGAGAGAGGCTGTAATCGCTGCCAAAAGTGCATCAACAAAGTATTGAGCAAAGCCTGTGAATACTGACGTACATGTGTACATTCTTCAGCTTTTTTATTTTTAATAAATTTGCACGTGTATCGTTGAATTATGTTGAATGATATGGCAGTCTGCCCTGGTCATTAACCAACATTTTGAAAAATATGTGGAAAAATTTAGTAGTAATTATTATTATTATTATTATTATTATTATTATTATAAAACAATCATGCATTTAAAAATGACCAGGACTTAATTTCCTCCGTCTAACTATTGGCTTATTTGCTTATTTATTTATTTTTAAGGATTACTATCATTTCTACAACCCATTGCACATTTTTTTGTAAAACTTGTCTTTGATTATTGTCTATAAAAGCACACTGTACATTCATTTTGATTACCTTAAACATGTTTAAAAAAAGCAAAGGAATTAGGAGTATTATCAGTTATAGGAAAAATAAAAATATCTAAAAAGTAAAAACAATATTAATAAATAATAATGATCAGGTTTTATGTATCTATTAAATGACGATGCATTATCAGTTCTCGCTCTTCAGCGTGTGTCAGTGTGTTACCTGCTGTTTCTGTGTACTTGTAACATCTATTATCACCCTGGGGGTGTTTGTTCAGTACCTCCAGCATCAGTGTTGTGCATTCAGAGAGTCATCGGGCTCAGTTTTGATCTCCTGCTGTCTTGAATGCATGAGAACATCAGCTGCTGTAATGAGTTGGACGTTCTCGAGGAGTCCTGCACATGTAGATCTGCTGTATCCGGCAGTTAAAGAGCTGATCCACAGAGCAGATGTCTGAGCCCGACTCCACCGAGACTTCAGCCTGACCATAAGAGCAAATGGAGCAGAACCAGGAGATCTGAACACAACCTGTGCACGCACTCAAACCCAGTGTGTGTGTGTGTGTGGATATCAGCACACCTGTTTGACACACACAGGCCACACGAGTCGAGCGGGACGCGGTTTACTCCTGCAGGGATTTATGCGCAGGTCAATAGTGCAGGGCTGTTCACTGGAGCATTGGGGATGAGACTGTGTGTTTACCACGGTGCAGTTTTCCCACCTCTCTCTATGGGATTTCCTCTCAGCTGTTCTACACACACACACACGCACACACACACATATAGACACTCGCACATACATACATAGACATACACACAAACAAGCACTCGCACATACAATAATACACACATGCGCACACACACACTCATACATACATACATACACAAACACACACACACACACAGACACTTGCACATACATACATACATACACACAGACATACACACACACACACACACACACACACACAGTCACTCGCACATATACAAACACATAGAAAATCGAACATACATACATAAACATTCACACACACAAGACATTTGCACATACATAGACCTACACATACACACACACTCGCACATACACACATACAAAGACATGCACATACGCACATACGTGCATACACACGCACACACACATAGACACTCGCACATACATACATACACAAGCACACACAGACACTTGCACATGTGAATACGCACACACACATACACACGCACATACTCAAACTCTCTCTCACACACACACTAACTCAGATACACACACACTCACTCACACTCACAAACACATACATACATACATACACACCAGTAAACTTTCACACACACTAACTCACACACACACACACACACATACATTAACTCACACAAACTTTCTCTCTTTCTCACACACACACACACAAACACACACACACACAGTGTCCCTCGACAGACACTCGCAGCTGGGCTGGTGGATGAACACATTCTCCAACAAACACAGATTTCACACTCTTGCTCTAGCTCTGCCACACACACACACACACACACACACACCACGGTGTCTGCCAGGAGATGGACTCTGGGCTGATTTATGACCCTTAGAGAGGCAGATCTCATGCTGGAGGTTTCTGTGGAGTCTCTCTTCAGCTCCACGTTTGTTTCGCTTGTTCATCCACCGTTAGTCATCAGCACAACCTGTCTAGACACACACACACACTTTAAAAGCTGCCGTTATGATGGACGTAGTATCAGTGACGTCGCCCATAGGTTTCTGAAGAGCGCAAACGAAGCTACAAGTAGGCGTGGCCAACCGGCGTCATTTTGTTCGTTCTCCATCGCACTAACCAGCGGGTAACCAAACAAGGGCAGAGAGGCGGAGCAACAGACGTCTGCTAGCATTGTGCTTAGAGGGGCTTTTCTTTTGGAGGACTGCTCAATACTTCATCACCTGCGACTCGCTTGTGTTCTGACCACATGTGCTTGGTTGTAAACTATATCAATAAAGTGTTTAGTCTTTTAAACACACTGCTGTAATACACTGAGCCACTAAACATTGCTCTTATGACTTTTTCTACGGGAGGAAAACACAAATTACTTCCAAACACTTCAGATACAGTCTGTGTTAGTAAATGCAGGACTATTGAAGAAATCCAGCAGAACACTGTCTGACAACACTTCAGATGAGCCTACAGCTGATCAATCTGTCAGAGTCTGGAGTGCATTACAGCTCTAATGAGCATAATAAATGATAAATAATCCCAAATAAAACTAATACATTTATAGAGATGGTATGCAAGTATATAAATTCACTCATCTGGGAAATGGAGGCCATGTGAATGGTTTATAAACACGATTAAGTGCACTCAGCATCCCATATCATCTGATAATTGTAGGAAATAATTCCAAAAAGCAACTGACTGTGTAAAGCCACATAAAACAACACAAAGATACGATGAACATGCCGAGTTCAGCAGCTAATCAGCCGGAATCAGGAGAAGAGACGGTGACCAGCGAGACCTAGCTGTCACTCAAGTGGCCACGCCCCTTTTTATGCAGGCTTAACCTAATATAAAGGAAACAGATGAGTTATAAAAATATTCACCCCCCTCACAGTTGTCATGAAGGGTGATATTAGCTATATACACCAAAATCGTCCTGTGTACGAGGCTGTAAACACCTTTACTTAACAGTGGGTTCAATTGAAATCTGCTCTATATGGAGACAGGTCTAGCGGAATTTTTTTACTTCTATATTTGCTTCATAAGGGAGTGTGTGTGTGTGTGTGTGTGTTTGTTCCTGTTTGAATGAAGATGCTGTATTGGTGTGTAAACTGTGTCCTGTGGTTGTGTGTTACAGTATCTGCAGATGAAGTGGCCTCTTCTGGATGTTCCAGGATCAGCGGCGCTCAAAGATTCACAGTCGCCTTCACCAGGACACTTAGTGAGTAATACACACACAAACACACACACGAACATGCATCTGTCACGCACACATAAATTCATCCACACACACGCGCGCACACAAACACTGAATACAGACATGCACTCATACATATACACTTATTCACACACACATACACTCTATCTCTCTCTCACACACACGCACACACACACACACACACTCACACGCAAAAAGATGCATATACACTCAAGACACACAAGCAGTAACAACAAAGACATGCACACTCACAAAGACAGACACACACACACACACACACACATATGAACTCAGACACACACAAACACTCATATACCCTCAAGACACGTGCGCGCACACAGACACACACACTTATTCACTCAAACACACACAAACACGCATGTACACTCTGGACACACACACCCAGTAACAACAAAGACACTCATACATATATGCGCACACACACACACACTCAAACAGAGACACACTCAGACATAAACACTTACACACGCACACTCAAGCACTCACACACACTAAAACAAACATGCAAATACACTGAAGACAACAAATACATGCACACTCGCTCACAAACAGACACACACGCACACACTAGCATGCAAATACTCTCAGACACACTCTCTCTCACACACACACACACACACTCAAACATTCTCACACACACACTAACATGCATGTACACTCAGACACACTCGCACAACCACACACACACACACACACTCAAACATTCTCACACACACACTAACATGCATATTCACTCAGACACACACGCTCTCTCTCACTCACACAGACACTGGTATGTTGGTAACGTGTTTGATAACAGTAATTATTGGCTCATTATATCTGCGTTCTCATGCGCTTCATCATGCTGTCAGACTCTTCAGACAGGCTTTAGTTTGTTTTGTGCAGCGAGTGACAATGTTGATGCAGCAATTATCATATTATCACAGCTGAAACGTTCACACACCCCAGCTGAAAGTCCTGAAAAATCCACGTCCCAGTTTACTTTACCACATGCGAATATACTACAGTCATTTATAGTAAATGCTAGTGTTTTATTAGCCATACTGACACTGACAGCTCCAATAGAGAGAGAGATGTTGCTGAAATGTTTCCAGAATTGGTTTATATGTATGGCCGATTTTTCTATTGCATCACCAAAAGGGTTGTGCGATAACTCCATATATTGATTATTGTGGCAGGCCTGCTTATCAGTAGGGATGCACTGATACCACTTTTTTGGAACCTATCCCGAAACCAAAATTCTGATCCCGATGCTGTGCCGTTGTTTTAAGCCTAATACAGTTTCTATCGTTCTGGTGCTAAACTCAAATAATATATTTTCTTTAGTAAAAATAACAGACCTATAGATAAACTGTATATGACAGACGAGTCGTCACAGCCAAACACATGCGAGAAGTGACATGGAAACAAAGAGGTCACATAATATATCTTTCTTTATTAACTACATAATGGAAAAAGAAGGCTTTAGTGGGGTAGAAAATGTACATATTTGCTCACCTGGCTTTAAAGGTAATTAGCAATTTCTCCTTTTTTTTTTTTTTCTTCTTCACCTTTTGACCCGGTTGTTTTATTGCTCAGATGACACGTCAAACAGACATGGATGCTACTGCCAAATTTACAAGTTTTTCCTCCATTTCTTGGATCCAAATGAACTAAAAAATAAGCCCCTCACTTGTCACCCAGCCTCTCATTGGCTGTAGGTGATCGCTGATGTTATTTTCAGTCAGAACACAATTCACGCGGCATGATTTGAATCGCAGACAGGCCCAGATAATTAGCATTCCGAATATCTTTCAGCGACTAATTGATTCTCTCAGATTGCGTCCTTGATAGTTCACACTCTGTGATTGTTACTCATGTGAATAAGCACCATTTTGCATGTGATTTGTCGGTGATTTCTCAAAACCTTTCGGTTTCATGCATTCTGAACTCGGCATTATATGCTTCAGCACCAAAACACAAACTGGTCTGGTAAATACAATATGAATATAAATAAAATGACCGTGAAATATTGAGAGTTTCAGAGTAGCCTATATTAGGCTCAATTGTTTTCTGTTAATGACAATTCATATTGCGCCGTTGGTTCCACTGTTATTAATTTAATCAACTACTTTGACCACAATGAGCCAGGCTTTACAAACTATTCGCAGCACTTAAAGTATTCCCCTCAGGAGAATAAACTCAGTCAGAAGGATGAGAGATTAGAAACTTATTGTGAGAATAATATTATGGAGCGATACACATCGCGTCTGCGCAGCCGGTGTGTGAATGAAGTGCTTGAGACAGCTTGAGAAGTACACAGCGCGCAGACCTCCGCTACCTGCGGACACTTCTAAAACAGCAGTACAAAATGGGAAAAATCAGCGTGTAGAGTATTTGTCCAATGTATTATTGGGCCTTTTCTAATTCAAAGTTCAGGTAGGCCTACTTTGTGTGTGAAGAGCCAACGCAATCTCACGGCAATTCATAACTTTTTGATTTAGTGGCTAATTCGTATGAATACGTACGATCTAATTTGTACAATTTAGTACGATTTGCTCATCACCCAATGACGGTCGGGGTTAAGGGGTGGGGTTAGGTGCCACGCCTCATTTTTAAAATCGTACATTTTCGTACGACTGAACTTGTACGAATAAACCACTAAACTGACAAAACGTAAAATACTTGCGTTTCCTCGTGAGATCAGAGTGGAAATGATAACATTTAATGCAGAACTAAATGCATTTCTCCACTGATTATTTAAACGAACAGGAACAAATAGTCTTGGGGAGTTTTTCGTGTTGTCATGAACGCGACACGCAGTTTGAATTGTGAATGAATGGAGAATGATTGACAGGCGCTGTGTCGGGAAGCGCTGAACTAAACATGACTTTAAACATTAGAATATTCATCTGTGCTTCACATTAAACTATAGAATGGCTTCAGAACTTTCTAGCGCCTTATAATAGGCTACCTTCATGGCTTATACACAGAATATAGCGAATACGCAAGATCGGATTTGGATCGGTAGCAGCCGGTCAAAAAAATATGCATATCAGGATCAGTGCACCCCCAATTGTGACATGTACAGTTTATGTTATCCTGTTAATGTATATGCATGGCCGTGTCGTAATGCAGCCAATTGCTTTCGTTTGTTTCGGGTTCCTTGATGTGTTTTTAATCAGTGGTGTCCGGTAATCTTCATCGACACACATAAAGCCTACCTGAGCTGCTATTGATTTGTGTAATTGATGTGTGTGGCCGTGCGGAGCGTTTGTTAGTGCTGTTGTTTGCTGCGCACCAAGACCAGCGTTTCTGAAGAGGAAAAATCAAAAAGCCCAGCGGTTCCTCTGCCTGCCGTGTGCTTAAAGGTGGAAATAGTTCATTTTTTGACATGGTCTCTCACAATCAAGCAGTTTTGGTACATTACAACTAATGAATCCATTTTCATGAGGTGATTCTGGCTCAGATCTGCATGTAGCGCAACTGTGCCACTCCTCGGTGTGTAGTGATGGCTGCTGGGTAATATTTGGGCCAGGATTCCTGTCAGATGAGTTGCAGGATGGTAGTGTGAGTCCTCAGCTGACCTCTGTGGTTTGATTCGCCTCTGCTACGCTGATGAGAGCTGATAAATTTAACCAGAGTGTGAAATTCTTGCTGCGCTGGAATGTGTGTGCGCGTGTGTATGTGTGTACCTTGTATTCATCACATTGTGGGGATCAAATGTGCCCACAAGTATAGCAATACCAGAAAATTCTGACATTGTGGAGACTTTTTTTGGTTCTTCATTAGGGAAATGGCATGTAAATCACACAGAATGCAGTATTTTGATCATGTAAACATGCAGCTTCTTGGTTTAATGGTAGGGAGATACAATGTACAGTCTGTACAGTATAACAATATTACATATATAGGAAGTCCCCGTAAAGATAGTTCTGCAAGTCTGTGTGTGGACTTGAACCTGAATATACTCAAGGGGACCAAAAATTTAGGTCAAACATACTTTTAAATCACAGAGAATGAAGTATTTTGGTTTGATATAATGTAGAATAGTAAACAGTATACCAATATTACACCAATGGGAGGTCCCCATAAAGATAGCTTTGCAAATGTGTGTGTGTGTGTGTGTGTGTACTTGTTTTTATATTTACTTAAACATGAATGCAGGACTTAAACATGAATGCAGACAGATCCATGGGCACTTGTCTCACCATGGGGACCAAAAATTAAGTTTAGACTTGCTCATAAATCAAAGAGAATGAAGTGTTTTGGTTTAATATAATAACAGCTTATATACAATATATGGTTTGTAGAAACGTCATTACATCTATGAAAGTCCTCCACTGGGATATAAGAATAAGAGAGCGTGTGTGTGTCAGGATGAAACACGCCAACACTCAACACAAGGAACTTTAATAAACTGACCCTAACTAAACCGGTTTGAGTCTGGAGCAGGCGGATGAGATAGGATCAGCAAACGCTCAAGTGTCATAAGAGGTGATCGATCTGTGGTGTCTAGTCAAAACACTTAATAAAACATCGCTTTTAAAAAACATGTTAGCTAATAAAACATTATAAATTAATTTCAGAATATGCTCATCATTACTGTGATTAGTTTTTTTCCTCATTTGCTTCATTTGTTTTTTGATTGATTCATTTACAAGTAATAAAACTGTTAGTTTCTAATTAAATATAATTGAACTTTATGAGTGGTAGGAATTTAAGTGCAATAGATATCTAGTAGGGATGCAACGGTTCAATCTTCTCACGGTTCGGTATGTATCACGGTTTTAGGGTCACAGATTCGGTGCGGTTTGTGCTATGCTTAGAAAACAAATGCCTACAGAACGATTCAAAGAACAATAAACATGTTTATTGTTGTGTCAAACACCTGACAGTGCAACAGCTTCACACATAAGACTGTAGATGTGCATGTTCTCGCATTCATTAAATAAAAGTAGAGCGTTTTGAAAACTGTATATTACAAATTGCTTAAGAAAATA